GACTTTTGGAGACAAGCCCCAAGCCTTGGCCACTGGCCTGCTGTCTAGGCTGCCATCTTGCAGCCCCTACTCTGCCACTGCATCTCCCTGGAGGCCAGCCCCTTACTTTTAAACGTCTCTGGGCCCTTGGCTCACCTTGAGTCCGGGCTGCAGTGGGCACAGAAATGGAGCTGCCAGCACCGTCGGCAGACCTGGATGGTGGGGTGGTCGGGGGCGCGGGGGCAGCCTGGGGCAGGAGCGTGATGCCTACTTGGGTCAGTGGCTGCACAGCGGGTGCGGCTGCTGCCGGGGCAGGGCTCTTGGGAGGGTTGGCAGGCACAGATGGGACTGGATTGGGTGTAGGGGAGGTGGCAGTAGCGGCCGTGGCAGGAATGTCATATTTCTGGAGCTGGAGAAGGTAGCTGTCGGCTGTTGCCACTGCCCCCCAGCTCACCTCCAGGGAGTTGGTGTTGCGCGTACCAGTTGTCTCGGCTGGGGTGGTGGCTTTTCTGTGGGAAGAACGAAGCTGGTGAGAAGGGGCGGGAGGCTGCAAGGGTGGGAGGGTTGGCTGGGCTGGGCCTACCTGTCTCCAGGTACCAGAGGTCCTTGCAGCAGACCTGGTTGTTCCAGGCCTTGCGGTAGCCATCGCGCCCACTCCAAATGTACAGGCGGGTGTTGATGGCGACTGCGCAGTGGCCGGCCCGAGCCCGGGGAATGTTGTCCTCCAGTGTATCCATCAGGATGGTCTCCCAGGCCATGGTATCTGGGAGAGGGCGGACGGGTAAGATCAGCAGGGAGGACGGAAGAAACCCGCTACCCCCAGTTGCCCTTGGTTCTTTTGTTGTCAAGGATGGAAATTAAAATCAAGATGTTATCAGATTATTACATTAAAAACAACAAAACAAAGAAAGCTTTGTGGCAAAAAGCACCATAAAAAATAAAATTATAAACACCAACGGCCAACTAGGAAAACCATGAGAAACACAGTCAGGGATTTACCTCCTTGCCCATCAAGGAATGCCACAACTCACAAAAAGAGACGGCAATGGGAAAGACGGTTTAGGGAAAACAGCATAAAAATATCTTAAAAAAAAAAAAAAAACATCCTCACGCAAAAGAAATGGCAACTTCAACCACCGGTGCCTGGCACTTTGATTTCTGGGCCTGTAGCAGCTGGGGCTCAAGGTGAGCCAGAAGGGAGCTTCAGCCATCTATCAGGCTTGGTAAAGGGTGAGTGGCCTGACCACTCGGTGAGGGCACCACCGGAGGCACCTATGTGGGCAAAGCCTCTGTGCAGGGCGCCTCAGCTGCATCGGACAGCAACTCCACTTCTAGGTTTTCACCCCTAGGATATACTTGCACACAGGTGAAGATGGTGCAAGGATACTCACGGAGCAGCGCCTGTACAAGAGACAGCAGCACAACCACAGCCTGAAGGAAGCTGCTGCGGGGCAGAAATGTGGAGTGATCTCCAAGCTATGGCGGATGAGAAAGGCCAGGTGCAGCACTGCGTGCACCAGGCTACCACTGTTTTGTATTTAAAGGCACCTATGACTAATGCTTGGATATGAAGAGTCCCTGCAAGGTGGACAGGAAACCACCCAGGTGGCTGCCTCTTGAGAAGCAGAACCGGGAAGAGGGCGGGAGGCCCTGCACTGTAGAGGCTTTGACAGTTTTGGATGTTGGGCCATTTGGATGGAGAGCGCATTCAAAATGCAGATGGAGAACATTGCTTCAGAGAGCTCTGCCCACTAGATCCTTCTGGTGGATTCCAGAGGGAGCCGGGGGCCCAAGCTTGTTCCCCACACACCGCACACAGCACTTAGGCTGAGGAGGGCTGGCCTCCTACAGCCTCCCACAGGTCACTCAGAGCCCGAGGAGGCCATACCCAGGTTGAGACAAGCCAGCGTGTTGGTACACTTCCACTCCTTCTCGTGCGTGGCCACTTTGACGTCATCCATGACAAGAGGCACCCAGCCACCAAACACGTACATTCTGGGAGTGAGGAGGAAAGAGTGGGAAAGGATTGTAGAGTTGGTGCCAAGCTAGTGGCCACCTCTGCTACCCCAGTTCTACAGCTCAGTCCTCTGGCTCTCCCCAGGAGAATCCCCAAGGACTTGTGAAGCCTCCTGACGAGGCCCTCTCCTGCCTGGTAGCTCAGCTCTCAGAACTGTGCCACCTCTACCATATAAAAGCGTCGTTCAGCTCATCTGAAGCTCACCTTCATCTCTACAGTTCCTAGGCTCCCTTTAGGACCTGGGCACTCACAAAGATAGCCAAGTGCTTGCACAGAGGACCTAGAACACTCTGTATCCAATGGGGCGGAGCCTCACAGGCCCAGGGAGGGTCTCAGGCTGGGCTTGTGTGTGGCCCCATCCCTGCTGAATCTGTCTTTCCTTGGTCCCCCAGGGTCGTAATGGAAAAATAGGGCTACCGAATGCCAGCCCAGCCAGAAAGAGGCATCTTCAGGTCTTAGGGTCTGACAGAACAAAACTGAGAGCCCTTCGGGGGAGGGGCCCCACTGGTCTAGAGAAGGGAGATACAGGCAAGCAGCCACTCACTTATTTCCAATGGTGGTTGCTGAGTGGAGACTGCGAGGAAGAGGCGCCACCCCGCTGAGACTGGGCTTATTCCATGTCAGTGTATCTGTAGAGAAAGAGGGGAGAGGGTTACACACGTTGGACCACACACAGACCGTTCCCTGGATTCAAGCTAGCTCAGGAAGATAGGATCTGTCTCAGTGAGAGAATCACATCCCTGGCCTCCCTACAGCCCACAGCAGGCCCTCTGATTGTTGTCGTGGGAGCTAGATTCCCGTGTTACCCAGTCAGTTTTGCCCAGCCTAGCAGGTGCGCTCCTTCAGGTACATCCTGAGCACCTGCCCTGAACCAGCACTGCGCTCTGTGCTAGGGGAGGAGTTGGGAGCACACCCCAAACTCTCCATGAAATATATTCACCATCATAACCACCTTAGGCTAGAGCCGTTTCAGCAACATCTCTCCCCCAGCCCAACCACTCCTGTCCAAGCAGTCCCCCAAGGCCTCACGGTTTACCGGCAGGCAGTGGTACCTCGGCAGTCAGACCAGGACACAGCAGCCCACACAGTCTGACCACTGACGAGTCCAGAGAATTCCATTCTAGAAAAGCTTAATCTCTTGTTCTCCTATAAGCCAGCAGACCCATTCGGCCAACTGAGCCAGCACAGGCCAGAGGTAACAGCCCCAGACCTAAGGACAATCCAGGGTTCCCCACCCTGACAAGAGGAAAGCACTAAAGTGGGGCGTTCCAGCTCCCTACGAGCCCCACCTCACCACACAACAGCGCCACCCACGGGACCAGCCAAGACTCAGACCTGCTTTGGCCCACAGCTGCTGGGGTGCTACCACCCTACTCACCGATATCTAGGGTCCACAGGTCTCCCAGCCTGCAGCCACTCATCCCGCCGTAGATCACCAGCTTGGACTTCTTGTTGTCTTTTTCGGTGTAGACCACGGCAGTATGTGACTCCCGAGGTGGTGGTAGGACCCCGTAAGTGATAGGGATGTCCCAGGCTACCACTCCGGAGCCTGGCCGTAATTCCAGGATGTATAAGTCATTCAGGTACCTGATGAGAAGAGATCAGTTACAGCAAGTCTCAGCTCCTCATGCCAGAGGCTTCACTGGATGGCTATCAGTGAGGGAGAGACTCCCCAGAACACAAAGGGGCTACGGCCATGGGAGCTGTGAAGTCCTTCTGCCCTGGCTCCCGAGGAAGGGGCTGCCAGAAGCTCTCTAGGATGAGCCCAGCTAGAGAAGGGGAAAGGGTGGGCGAGGCTATACAGCAGCCCCGAGTCCAGACCCAGCAGCATGCCGTGCTGTGCACACAAAGCTGGGCATTATACAAGGGCTCCACTGAGCAAGAGGGTCACCGGCTTGGGACTACCTCCAAACAGAGTCCTTGGCCATAGGCCTTGGAAAATACCCATCAGGAAACTTGTGGGCAGCTGACACCGAGAAGGAACACAAGCAACTCTAGGCCGAGTCTGAGAGCAGGCCCCAGCCCAAGGCAAAGTGGCTTCCACCTCCGGCTTGGCCCTCCACCCATGAGGCCTGCTCAGGGTTAGCAGTGATTTTGGAGCCAGAAGGCTCCTTAGAGGGCATCTGGTACAGCTCTCTCATTTACAACCCAGCATGAGATAGGGACCCAGCTGCACACCCACCCGGGGGTTCTGAAGAGAAAAGGACCAAGCCTCACCTTGGAATGTTGTTCTTTGGGTCCTCACTATCATTGGCCAGACCCCCAAACAGGTAGCATTTGTTGCCCACAAGGGAGAAGCTGTGCCCGAGCCGAGGACATGGAGGGGGCCCATTTTTGGGTGTCTTTGCTTTGAGTCTCTTCCACTCCCACCGGCTCGCCTGCAAAATCAAGACCTGGAGGCTGAAGGCCACCCCTCGGGGCCCAGGGCAACTTGTGGTAGAGGAGAAAATGGCCGGGGGCAAGCTAGGTGCTTTGCCGGAGCAAGAAGGTCCTGGGTGTCAGGCCTGGCCTTCTCCTGAGGCGGGCCAACTTCAGAGTGGCACTGGCAGACTCCCAAGCGTCCCTTCCACCTCCCACTTGTCTCAATCCTGAAGCCACTACTGTCAGGTCATGGGGCTGGGGAGGCAGAGTGAGAACCTGGGGCTGCTTTACCTGCAGCTCGTAGAGGTCATTGCTGTATTTCCCATACTCCACCATCCCGCCAAACACCAGGAGGCGAGTTCCATCACAAACAAAGCCATAGGCTGCACACCCCGGAGGGATGTCCCCCCTCACAGCTGGGATGAACCACTGGTTGGTTGCTGGGGAACAGAAGGAGGCAGAAGTCAGTAGAGCCAGCATCGCCCATTCCTCTCATTCCCCAAATTTACCAGCCGTCAACCTTGGTGAGGGGCTGAGCCAGCACCATCCCTGTGGGCACTCTAGCAACTCCATCCATGCTACCTGGGCCATCTTCCAAATCCCACGACTTCAGGCCACTGCAAAAGGGCCTGTGACCACCCTGCTTCTCATCAAGGTCATCTTTTTTTTTGAGACGGAGTTTCACTCGTTACCCAGGCTGGAGTGCAATGGCGCGATCTCGGCTCACTGCAACCTCCGCCTCCTGGGTTCAGGCAATTCTCCTGCCTCAGCCTCCTGAGTAGCTGGGATTACAGGCACGCGCCACCACGCCCAGCTAATTTTTTGCATTTTTAGTAGAGACGGGGTTTCACCATGTTGACCAGGATGGTCTCGATCTCTTGACCTCGTGATCCACCCGCCTCGGCCTCCCAAAGTGCTGGAATTACAGGCTTGAGCCACCGCGCCTGGCCCATCAAGGTCATCTTAATGAGAGGGATGTCACTGTGCAAGACCCCTCGTTGGCCACTGCCTTCCTTCCCTACCATTCAGTGGATCAGACATGAACTTCTCCTCAAAATACCCTCTTGGTGGACCTGTGCTCCTTCTCCCTGGAGCCCACATTTTTGTCCCTGTATCACAGAGTCAGGACAGCCAGAGCCCACAGCAGCACTTTCAAGTGGCCAAAAAAGCAACTGCTAAAGGCCATGGAGAGCTATGGGACGAGATCCAGCCTCTGCTCTGACCTCCCAGACCTCCTCTGGTCTCCTAGGTGATGGTCCACCGGCATCCTTCCCCACCCCCACGGCCACACCTATGCTATTCTGGAACATTCTCAAAAGCCAGAGGCAGCAGTCTCAGCAGAGCCATGACAGAAGCTTCCCGAAAGCTCATGGGGGTGAGAAGATCACCAAGAAAGAGAGGAATCAGACCCTAGGCACTGCTTTACTCCCCCAGGACAGAAGCAGCCAGCCTTCAGATGAGACTGGGCCCTTGAACTCGACTCCCCTCACACCCTCCATGCTGGGGCTTCCCAGGAAACCTCTTCCTATGAGGGGCCCCTCAGAGGATTCACCACACTCTTTCCGAAAACCCCAAACTGGGGGCCAGGTGCAACCCCAACTCTGTGCCTCTGAGCTGGCCTGGGTGAGACCTCAGTGAGCAGATGGCGGAAGGCGCTGAGGCCCCTTCACACGACTTGAGACATAAGACGGGTTCCCCAGGACATGACGGGGCATGGGGGGATTCCTGTGGGGTGGGAACTGGGAAGGCTTCCACACAGGGGATGCTGTGATCTTGTGATATAGCACAGACTACTCAGTTTGGTGACCAAAAGCATTGTGAGACCACAGAAGAAAAAAAACAAAGTAGTTTTTTCCGTCTTCAGGTGCACCTAGGGCCAGACGGCCGGCCACGGTTGGGAATGCACATCCCACTGCACCCTGGTCCCACCCAGTCCCACGCCGTCACCCCCAGGGCTCAGCGTGCACTGTGTGCAAGGCTTGCCCTCATCCAAAGCACAACTCCCAGCCTGGGTAGCACAGGGAGACCCTGTGTCTACAAATTTTAAAACATTGGCTGAGTGTAGTGGCATACACTTGTGGTCCCAGCTGCTCGGGAGGCTGAGGTGGGAGAACTGCCTGAACCTCAGAGTTTGGGCTGTAGTGAGCTGAGACCACGCCACTGCATCCCAGCCTGGGCAGCAGAGCAAGACCTAGCCTCAAAAAAGAAAAGAACAAAAACAGAAAACCCCCCACAGCACAACCGCACCAGCACCACCTCCAGAGGCGAGCACCCCCACCCCACTCTCTAGCACCCACTCCAAGGGTGGGCTTTCAGCAGGCTGTCGGTCTCTGCAGCCACTCAGCTGAGTCACTGGGCCTCAGACATGCCAAGCACTGAGCTCCCATGCCATTTTCCTAAGGCAGAGGGCAACACTTGTGCAGCCCACACCCACAATCTTGGGTCCTGGGCCCCTGCCTCTTTCTCATTCCCAGTGCAAAAACCACCCCAGAAAAGCAGGAGCTGCCAAGGCCAACAGCCTTGCACACTGGAGAGCCACCCTGACTAATCCCTGGAGGGGGCTCCATGCAAGCTACCAAGGTAAACGCACAAGGAGACCCAAGACTGCCTGGGCCAACTACTCTGGATAGGTAAAGGGGCAAAGCCAGGAGGGCAAGCAACACCTGAGGTCTTAGGGCAAAACAGAGACAGGGAAACAAGAGCCCCATCATTGACTCAAAGCGACCGATCTGTGCCTGCCCAAGGGTCCCATGTCCAAGCAGCCACCCTCACTACCCTGAGCACCATCATGGTCAAAGCCCACAGCTATGGGGCCATGGGTCAGGGTTTGGGACAAAGCTAAATGGCACATGGGGTCAGCCGGCAGTTCTCCCATAACATGCTGATCAGTGAACCAGCAGGCCAGGCCAGAAGTGCCGTGTGATACCTTTGGGGCTCCTGCTCACCAGATCCTTCTACAGGACCCAAGAGCTGCTGATCTCATTCTAGAACACGTCAAGAGAGGTCTATCAGGGAGCACAGCTCCTGGAGTGAAGACAAGCCTGCGGCCCCTCATCTCACCCACCAGTCCTGGTTCCCCACGAGAAGCACCCCTCCCTTCTCCCAGCTTCTCAATGTGACAGATGCTCTCAGTTGCCCCTGAATCATCCGGGGGGGGGGGTGTCATGTAACGCAATCCTGGGGAACCTCATCCTGGAGGTGCTGGCTGTCAGCTGGGAGGGGAAGGTGGGGAAAGAACCCTGCCCTGGACGAACACCACTCCAACTGCCCTCCTCCTGAGGGCACGGCTGCGCCCCGGCCTCTCCGTGTTTCATCAGCTCCCCCAGCCACTTCCTGCTCCACCAGCCCCAGCGTGGTTGCTAGCGTCCCATCACCATCTAAAGACCGGTGCCCATGCAGGGGGCAGCCGGTCAAGTTCAACGAACTGCCTTCCTCTCTGTTCCACCTGTCACATTAGAGCACTTCCTGTGTGGCATACAACATGCTGGGAGGCACAGAGGACACTGCTCTTGTGCTCATACTCCCAATGGGGTAGGAAGGCTGCATGCCCCCTCCCACAATGAGACAAGCACCCTAGAGGAGCTCTGACTCAAGCCTGGCCCTCGGGAGCACAGAGTGGGGTGACTGCTGGAGAGGGAGGGCAGGAGTGGAAAGGGCTTCTCAGAAGAGGTGACATTTCAGCCGGGCCTTGAAGGGTGAACAGGATTTCCCGACAAATGAAACTCGTAGGACCAACCAGGAAGTGACCGCACGAGTCTAATAAAAGGACAGGAGAGCTTGGTGTGGAGGGGGACAGATTTGATGTTAGCTCAATGCAATGACCAATTTGATACAGGGAGAGAGGAGAAGGTAGGTGTTTCAAAGGTGGTTGCCCTCAAGAGACAGGTGATAGAACAGCCTCTGTGAAGGTTTGCACTCCTGCCCAACTCCACCACCAGCTGGCGGGGTGACCCTGGACCTTTCACTTCCCCTCTTGGACCCCAATTTCCTCATTTGCAGAAACAAGGAAGTTCCACTAGATATCGTCCAAGGCTCCTTCCAGCTTTAAGAGCCTATGGACATTACAGAGCCACTGAGGCCAAAACTCTCATCACCACACCCCCCCACAGCCCCTGGCAGCACTCTGAATCCTTTGGCTTGCAATGTGGAACTAAAATTTCCTAAGGAGAAGGACAGTAGCTACCCTAAGACTTCTCAAAGCACACACCCCTGAAGCTTTCTTCTCCTAGCAACGGGGGCCCCTTCGAGATCAGCTCTCTCCAAGCAAGGCTTTCTGAGGACTGACCCTGCAAACGTGCAAGGGGTAGAGGCCTGAGAATATGCCCCGCCTCCTCCCAAACACAGCAAAAGCAGACAGGACAAAGGTGAGGAGGTCGAGCTGCTGGGAGGGGCAACTCCCGCTGATTCCGGATTCTGCCATTCTGCCGATTCCCATGCAGAAACCCTGGTGAGGAAGAGGGCATTGGGTCTGCCAGCTGCTCTCTCTGGAGAAGTCCTCCGAGGAGCTGCCAATGACAGTTCCCAAACTGCTATCCTAGAGGATACCAGGGCTTCGTTTAAAGCGGCCCTCTGGAAGGCAGACTACCCTCTAATGCACAACCTGTCTTTGCAGACTGGGAATGAATTCATGCCAAAGTGGTCAATTCATTTTAATAAACAAATGAATATGCAGAGGCCCCAGGAAGCCAAGGCAACGGTGGCGGTGGACTTTGGAGCCGACTGTAATTAGGCCCCTGCCCTACTTTCTAAAATTGCATTTCCCTGCCAGGGAGCCTGCTCCAGGCCTTCTGAGAAGAAAGTCCGTGCAAAGAGTTGAGGTGCTGCTCATGGTGCCGGCGCCTCTATAAACAGCCCCACCGCTGGAGAAGCTGTATCCCAGCCCCTTGACCTTAGCTTACTGAGCTAATTCCTGCTACTGCAGCTGCCTGGGCTGGCACGGGGCACCACCAACCACCGAGCACCCGTGCGGGGGGGAGGGGGGGTGCTGAGACAGGTCCTGCTCCCTGGAGGCAACAGGTGCTGAGAGACCTGGAATGAAAAGGGTCACCGGCAACCCACCAGCCTTTCAAAGACCGTGTGGTAGGTGGCAACCATTTCCAAGGTGTGGAGAAACCAGCACTTTCTGCCTTGGGGGGTGGGGAAGGAAGCGGCACACAAGAGCCCAGCTCTAGCCCTCCCAATTCCGAAGCCAACTTTCTCCCTCCAGGCAGCTGACTTCCCACCCTACAGCATCAAGGCACTGGAGCGCAGTCAGAGAGGAACGGTCTTTTACTGGCCAGGACACAAAGCCCACCCAGCGAGGTTTGTCTGCAGGGGCACCACAGAGGCCAGGGGATTGCCAGAGCTCCACGGGAGGATGCTGCAGAGAAGGGGCTAGTGCTGGAAGCTGTGGCTCCCACTGACGACTAGGGCTTCCTAGGACCCCAGCCTGCGGGTGGGGGCGGTTCCCTTCACGCAGCCTCTTCCAGATCTTGCCTGGGACAGAACTCACGCTGACCCTGCCTTCTAGGCAAGACCAGCATCCTGTGGGCCAACGGGCAGGCAGCAGGCAATGTGGGAGCTGACCCTAGTTCTAGGGGCACAAAACGGGCCAAGTGGCCCCCAAGAAAAGGATGTCACAAAGTTCATGGACAGCAGCAGGCTTTCTGCACTAGAGACTAAGCAAGGCTACTAGGCAGGGGCAACAACAGACAGCCCCCACGAAGGCTGTGGTGCCTCAGCCATACCTGAAGAGAGAGGTTCTTCCCCGTCGCAACTAACAAGGGCTTGGGTTTTGCCGGGAGGCAGAGGAGCGGGTGAGGTAAGCCCGTGATCCGCCGAAGCGGGGAGACACAGGGCTACACAGGCCGCTGAGGGGTAACTGGAATTCAGCTTGTAAACCAGAAAGCACCAGATTAAGAGAAGGTGCGACTCAGAAAGAAACGCTGCAGAAGTAAATGTCGAAAAGGAGAGGCGACCCTGCTGGCGGCCCGTCGTAGCGGTACCCAGGGCTCCAGCATTAGCCGGTTGGCAGATGAAGATGTTAAACTCTGCTCTCTATGAACGCGTCCCTTCCCTCCCTTTTTCGAGAAACAGAGAACGAATCTGTAATCTAGAAATGGTCATTTATCCAGAATGGGCACTCGAGATGAAGGAGAGCTGAGCAGGCGCAGGAGAAGGGAGGGAGGGAGGGAGAACTCTGCCTGCGCCAAGGGGACACATCCGCCCGCCACAGCCCCGGCACGCTGGGTAACGGTGTGAGTCTGAAGTCACCACCGCTGGCGACAGCCCCTCTCCCCCACCAGTTGGACTAGGGGCTTTCTTTCAACTGACGAAAACCAATCCTTAAATACGGGAGACAAGGGGTTTCAGAATGGGAAGAAGATCAGAGGAAAGCACTGAAGCCCGGCACAGCAACGGGGAGGGGCAAACCGATCAGTGGGGAGGGAGGGGAAGGAGGGGGGACGGAGGGAGGAGCGGGAGGGAGAGGGGGAAAGGGAGGGGAGGGGGGAGACGGACGGGGGAAGGGAAGATGATGAGGGAGGACATGGAGGGAGGGGGGACATGGAGGGAGGGGGGAGATGGAGGGATGGAGGGAGGGAGGGAGGGAAGAGGAGGGAGATGGAGAGAGGGAAACTGCCGAGGACCCAGCGGGCTTTGCACTCACCCGTGTTGTACACGTGCAGTTCGTCCACTATTCCCTCGTTGCCGCCGCCAAACACCACGATGAGCTCCTTGATAGCCACGGCGCGGTGGCCGTGACGGGGCCGCGGCACCGGACCCGACCAGCCCACCACTCGCTTCCAGCGGGGCTGCAGGAGCACCGCTGGCGAGTTGGCGGGCGACACGGCCGAAGCCATAGTTCCGGGAAAGGGTGCGGTGGGGAGAAGTCAACAAGCAGGAACGGAGCCCCTCAATTCCTCTCACACACCCCTTTTCGTCTAAGGCAGCTCTAACGGAGAAGGGTTCCTCACACAGCGGTAGACGACTCCATGGAGGCCGCCATCTTAACTGCTCTCCTTCCCTTTGGCTCTTCCCTTTCTTCTCGCTCACGTCGTCTCCTCAAGAGCTGCCCAAAACTGTCGAGCGCCTAGGCTCGGTAAGCTAGAGGCCGCCGAGTCCCGTCACCCCGACTACTTGCCCGGGCGCTCCCGCTTACAAGCTCGGGCGGGAGGCCCTGGGAGCCGCCATCTTGAGCCGCCTCTCTCTCCTCCCTTCCTCAGTCGTAGCCCTCCCCCGCCGGAAATGGCGGAACCCCGGCCCGGTTCCCACACCCCCAAGTCCCCAGGACTGGCCGGCTTCCGGGGCGGTTGGAAAAGAGCCACAGGCGCCGCGGTCGTCGCAGCCCCGCCGGCGCTCAGACCACAATTGTGGGAGCCGCCATCTTGAGACCGTCCCGCTTCCCCGCCCAGCGCTCAGTGCAGCCGCCGCTCCCGAAACAGCCCCGACACACCTAAGGAATGGAGGCGCGCCGGAGGCCGGCGGAATCAGCTCGAGCTCCCGAGGGCCGTTTGGAGGCGCGCGCCGTAAGGCCGTTAGAAGTCTCGCACCTTTCCCCTTAGTCCGCCTCTGCAGCTCAAGCTGCGCCTGCCGCCCTGGGAGCCGCCATCTTGAGACTAGCTCCTCGTTCCCCCCTATTCTCTTCCTCCTGGGTCAGTTCTTCCACTGCAAACCAAACTCAAGGCAGTGTCCGATCCTCACTTCCCTCCTTATGACTCCTTCCCACAGGAGCAGCTTCAAGGAGCCAGAGTTAGGCCCCGAAGCGGCAACTGTACGGCAGGAGGAGCGGTAACGGCAGGGCGCTCATGCCTCCTCCCTGGGAGCCGCCATCTTGTGTGAAGAAGTAACAACTAAACATGGCGGCGGCGGCGCCGGCGGTCGGGCGAGGGGGCGGAGTCAGGTGACGTCACCGCTTTCCTCCACCCGCCCTCGCACCTCTTCGCCGCTGGGCCGAAGCCTCTTAAAGGACCCCCGCGCCGCCTTGCGGCGTGGGTGGGGGGTCGGCGCGGCCACGCGCTGGGCTAGGGCTGGAGCCGCGCTCAGGTCAGGTGCAGGCGCAGGCGCGCCCCGCCCCACAGCCCCCCCGGGTGAGCCTCCACGCCTCCGCCCTGGGAGCCGCCATCTTGCCACTTCCCCTCGCCCGGCCGTCCGCGGGCGTCAATAGCGACTGTCAGCACAAAACAAAGATGGCGGCGGCGGCATCTCGAGAATACCCGGATGAGAGTCATAACCCCTTCGACGCGCTCGGCCCCGCCCCCCTTGGGAACTGTCTCTGGGGTCGCTGAAGGGACGCACGCCCGAGGAACTGCCTTTAACCAGCAGTGGGGAAAGGGGCATGCAGGGGGCCGGGGGTGGCGAAGAGTCACCACAGCCAGGCCTCCGGCCGGGGAGCTAACGTTTTCCCGCCCTGCACAACTAGCAGCCGCAGGAGGTGGCCCAAGGCGCGCCTCGGGTGGGGGGGAGGGGGTGGGGGACTGGGGGCGGGGCCAGAGTGGGAGGCGACGCAGCCGAGCGCCGGTGCCCGGGGGTGGAGCGTCCGCCTGCTCCCAGACTCCCAGGCCGCCGGCCCCGCCCCCGGACGCCACCACCTCCGCCGGCGCCGCAGCAAAAGAGCTGGGCCGCGTGCCCCAGACCGCCGCGCGCCCGGCCGTCCCCACGGCCGAGGGGCCCTCAGTCAGACCGGTGGCACCCAAACCAGGTGGGCGCGGGAGGCGCTCGCGTCACTTTGCGTCAGCCCGTCCCGCCCGCTTCCCAGGCCCCGGGCCCCGCCCCGCGCGCAGGCGCACCCTCGCTGTTCGGGTCCGCCCTTATTGGAGATTTGAATTTCCCCCAGCGAGGCGAGCGAGGCGAAATACCCGTATGGTGATTGCTGGCCTTTTCGCGCCAATACTGTAAGTGCTCACCGCAACCCCTGGAGGTGGGTCCCGGCGTCGCCCGTACGTTCCACCTCCTCCAGGAGGCCGCCCGGGCGCGGCGGCGGCATCCTCACTGCCACGCGCAGGCCGCAGCGCAGAGGCCCAAGCTGCTGCCCGGGAGCTGCAGTCACCAGTATAAATGGATAGACAGGTCCTGTCAGAGCCTGTGGCTTTTGTTGTAAATGCCTAGAGGTTCAATTAAATTACAAGATCTACCGACAGGCAGAATTATTATTTTGAAGTTAAGCGTCCTGCTGGAAGACCTTGTAATTTAATGCATTAGGAAGGAAGTACACATCACTGCCTCTCACATTTTCAACAATATTTTTTAAGTCGTCTCTCAACATATTACATGCATTTGTAATCCTCTGTATTATAGTTCACGCAGTGGGAAGTATCCATTTGAGAAAGGCCAAAGAAGAATTCCTGCTTGTCTGTGGTACCACCTGCTGTTTGTGACCGTGGCTAGTTACCTCACTTCTATGTCCCCAACTTCCCCACCCATGGTAAATAAGAAAACTAAGGCCTGACACGTTGGCTCACGCCTGTAATCCCAACACTTTGGAAGACTGACATGGAAGGATCGCCTGAGCCTAGGCTGAGCAACACAGCGAGACCCCGAGGATGGCTTGAGCCAGAGTTCAAGGCTGTAGTGAGGTGAGATCGCGCCTCTGTGTTCCAGCCTGGGCAACAGAGCAACACCCTGTCTCAAAAAAAAAAACAAAAAAATTGAGTCGAGAAGCCAAATTAATTTTCATTTTAATTTTAAAAATTCAAGTGTACATGGTTGCTCCTGGCTGCTTGCACATCCGTCTGGCCGAGGTTAGCTTTTCCTGCTGGGGTGTCCCACACGATGTCACCTTATCTGCAGGAAGACAGCGAGGAAGGTCGTGGGGGGACATAACTAGTTTTCATAAATGCTAAAGTCCTGTATGTATTAGTGCCTGCTGTTTAAACACGTGCAGGAGAGTCTGGGCCCTTAGCCAGGAGATTGTCAGGCTTTCCAGGGCTTCCCTGATAAACCCCACATCCAGGTGCCCATGCTGTTGAGGTGTTGGCCTTCCTATGCCAGGCCTTGGGGGAAGCTGTGGCGAAATTTCAGTGTCACAGGGAAGCTAGGCTGTATGGTAGCCAGCTCGGTTGGGTTTTGGACAGGTGCCTTGATTAAATCAGCACTGTCAGCCATGCCGTCGTTCAGGTGGACTGATCCCCTGCATCCGGAAAGAGAAGTTGCTTTCCACGCCCTTCCTGGAGTTCCGCCTCCGTCAGATTGACAGTCTTTGACTCCTGTTCTAGCTCTCCGCCCTGCTTGCTGGCAGGCAGGAGGGTCAGGCTAGCATGGCTGCAATGGGGCCCTAGATGGGTGCAGGGAAGGACCTGTAGACACCAGGTGGGGCCTCAGCTGGTGCCTCAGCTGGAGTTAGGAGCTGAAGGGGAAGTGCCTGAGAGGAAATGACAGCTGAGTCAAGAGCAGTGGCCAGGCACCGTGAGCAAAGAGCTTCCAGTACAGAGCTGGGCCTGAGCTCAAAAAGCTGCATGGGGATGGCACTTTAAGTCTGGCCAAGAGTTTGAGACATAATCCAGGACATAGAATGGGAAGCTGATCATGGAAGTGTGGAAGTCAGGGCAGACATGATCCTGTCCATGGCTGCTCCACAAAGATGCTGGGGCTACTGCGTGCACACCCCTGGACCCGGAAGCTTCTTTGACTGGGAGGAGGGGGCAGGGGGAGTCCAGGTACCCCCTGCTGAGATGGCAGGCTTGTGTGAAGCAAGGACATGTGGAGTGAGAGTGAGGGCTGTGGTTCCTGTGTGGCAACAACATGCTTCAGAGGGCAATGAGGCACCCACATGCCAGGCCTGGTGGTCCTCCTCAGCAATGGAACCCCAAGGCAAGAAGGCTGAGAATGAGGACCAAGAGGATTCAGGTGGGCCCCAGGACGTGCCTGAGAAGTGAAATAGCAAACAAGAATGGTAAAAGGCAGCAGAAGTGCTGGCTTTGTACTTTAATGTAATTGAATTGAAATTGAGCAGGGCTTCACTGGCACCTCAGGAACAGCAAGGAATCAGACCCTTCCCCACCCATTTGGGGGCCTAAATTGCAGGAGGGCAGATGGACTTTGCACCTCAAAAATAAACAGTGCTTTTCACGTGAATCATTTGCAAATATTTTCTCCCATATTGTCTCTTCATTGTTGATTGCTTCTGTGCTGTGCAGAAGCTTTTTACTTTCATATACTCCCATGTGTCTGTTTTTGTTTTTGTTGCCTGTGCTTTTGGGGTCTTGGCATAAAATCTTATTCCAGACCAATATCCTGGAGCGTTTTCTCATTTTCTTCTAGTAGTTTTATTTTTATTATTTATGTATTTATTTATTTTCATTGATTGATTGATTGAGACAAGAGTCTCACTCTGTTGCCCAGGATGGAATGCAGTCGCATTATCTTGGCTCACTACAACTTCCGCCTCCTGGGTTCAAGCGATTCTCCCGCCTCAGCCTCCCAAGTAGCTGGGATTACAGGCGCCCACCACCACGCCCGGCTAATTTTTGTATTTTTAGTAGAGATGGGTTTCACCATGTTGATCACTCTGCTCTCGAACCCCTGACCTCAGGTGATCCGCCCTCAGCCTCCCAAAGTGTTGGGATTACAAGTGTGAGCTACCGCACCCAGCCTCTTCTAGTAATTTTATAGTTTCAGGTGTTACATTTAAGCCTTTAATCCATTCTGAGTTGATTATTGTGTGTGGTGAGAGATAGGGGTCTCGTTTCGTTCTTCTCACATACTTATCCTTTCCCCAATGTAGATTCTTTGCGCGTTTGTACTACTCATCATAGCTAAGATAAGGAGGCGCTCTAAGTGTCCATCAGTGGATTGGTATATAAAGAAAACGTGGCATATATTCATGATGGAATGTCATTGAGCCATTTAAAAATAAACCATTGGCAGGCGCGGTGACTCACGCCTGTAATCCCAGCACTTTGGGAGGCCAAGGTGGGCGGATCACCTGAGGTCAGGAGCTCGAGACCAGCTGGCTAACATGGTGACACCCCCGTTTCTACTAAAAATACAAATATTAGCCAGGTGTGGTGGCAGGTACCTATAATCCCAGCTACTTGGGAGGCTGAGGCAGTAGAATCACTTGAACCCAGGAGGCAGAGGCTGCAGTGAGCCGAGATCATGCCATTGCACTCCAGCCTGGGAGACAAAGTGAGACCCTGTCTCGGGGGAGAAAAAAAAGCCTATTGGCTGGGTGCAGTAACTCACACCTGGAATCCCAGCACTTTGGGAAGCCAAGGTGAGAGGGTCACTTGAACCTAGGAGTTTTGAGACCAACCTGGGCAACATAGCAAGACCCTATTTTTCCAAAAAATTTTCAGAATTTGCCAGGCATGGTGACATATGCCTGTGGTCCCAGCTACTTGGGAGGCTGAAGTGGGAGACTGACTTGAGCCTGGGAGGTGGAGGCTGTAGTGAGCTGCAGTTGCACCACTGCACTCCCCAGCCGGGGAGACGAAGTGAGACCCTGTCTCAAAGAAATCAACAAACTAATAAAACAAATCTTGTTATTTGTGGCAACATAGATGAGCCTAGAGGACATTATGTTCAGTAAAATGAGCCAGGAACATAAATATTTTATGCACTAATCCTTATGTGAAATACTAAAAAAAAAATGAAGCTCATGGAAATAGAAGTATAGTGGGTATTAGAAGCTGGAAGGATTAGAGGTAGGGAAAGATTGGGAGGAAATCCCAGCTTCATTGCTCGAATGGGCTCTGTTGTTCTGCACTGTAGGGTGAGCATTGTGAATGTCATTTCCTGTGTGTTTTCAAAAGAAAGGGTTTGGAATGTTCCCAACACAAAGAAATGATAAACATTTCATCATTACACATTATATAGATGTATCAAAATGTCACTCTATATGCCATTAAAAATAACAAAATAGGCTGGGTGCAGTGGCTCATGCCTGTAATCCCAGAACTTTGGGAGGCCGAGGCAGGCAGATCAGTTGGGGTCAGGAGTTCAAGACCACCCTGACCAATATGGCGAAACCTCATCTCTACTAAAATGCAGAAATTAGCTGGGCATGATGGCTATCGCCTGTAGTTCCAGCTACTTGGGAGGCTGAGGCAGGAAAATTGCCTGAATCCAGGAGGCGAAGGTGGCAGTGAGCTGAGTTCATGCCAGTACAGTCCAGCCTGGGCATCAGAGCAAGACTGTCTCAAAAAAATTATTAAATACGATAGGCTGGGTGCGCTGGCTCATGCCTGTAATCCCAGCACTTTAGGAAACCGAGGTGGGAAAATCATGAGGTCAGGAGTTTGAGACCAGCCTGGCCAACATGGTGAAACCCTGTCTCTACTACAAAAAATACAAAAAATTAGCTGGGCGGGGTGGGCAACTGTAATCCCAGCTACTTGGGAGGCTGAGGCGGGAGAATCACTTGAACCTAGGAGGGCAGAGGTGGCAGTGAGCCAAGATTGCGCCATTGCACTCCAGCCTAGGTGATGGTGTGGACAGTACGAGACTCTGTCTCAAAAAATAAAATAAGCTGGGCACGGTGGCTTATACCTGTAACCCTAGCACTTTGGGAGGCCAAGGCAGGTGGGTCACGAGGTCAGGAGTTTAAGACTAGCCTGGCTAAGATGGTGGAACCCCATCTCTACTAAAAATACAAAAATTAGTTGGGCGTGGTGGTGGGCACCTGTAATCCCAGCTACTCAGGAGGCTGAAGCAGGAGAATCACTCGAAGCCAGGAGCCGGAGGTTGCAGTGAGCTGAGATCACGCCACTGCACTCCAGCCTGGAGACAGAATGAGACTCTATCTTAAAAAGCAAAATAAAATAAAATAATAATAATCATAAAATATGCTCAGCGGTCTACATATACAGATACTTTGTGTTTGTTTGTTTTTGAGACAGAGTCTCACTCTGTCACCCAGGCTGGAGTGCAGTGATGCAATCTTGGTTTACTGTAGTCTCCACCTCCTGGGTTCAGGCGATTCTCCTGCCTCAGCCTCCAAAGTAGCTGGAACTACAGGCGCTACCTATCACGCCCAGCTAATTTTTGTATTTTAGCAGAGATATGGTTTTGCCATATTGTCTGGGGTGGTCGTGAATTCCTCACCTCAACTGATCTGCCTGCCTGGGCCTCCCAAAATGCTGGGATTACAGGCATGAGACACCGTGCCTGATCACTTTTTTTTTTTTTGGAGAGGGAATTTCGCTCTTGTTGCCCAGGCTGGAGTGGAGTGGCATGATCTTGGCTCACTGCAACCTCTGCCTCCTGGGCTCAAGCGATTCTCCTGCCTCAGCCTCTTGAGTAGCTGGGATTACAGGTGCCCACCACCCAACTAATTTTTTTGTTTTGTTTTGTTTTTCTTGAGATAAAGTCTTGCTCTGTTGCCCAGGCTGGAGTGCAGTGGTGTGATCTTGGCTCACTGCAACCTCCACCTCCTGGGTTCACGTGATTCTTATGTCTCAGCCTCCCAGGTAGCTGGGATTACAGGTGTGCACCACCATGTCCAGCTCATTTTTTTGTATTTTAGTAGAGATGGGGTTTCACCATGTTGGCTAGGCTAGTCTTGACTCCTGACCTCAAGTGATCCACCTGCCTCATTGTCCCAAAGTGCTGGGATTACAGGTGTGAGGCACCTCGCCCGGCTTAGTATTTTGTATTTTTGGTAGAGATGGAGTTACACCATGTTGGCCAGGCTGGTCTCAAACTTCTGACCTCAGATGATCCACCTGCCTCAGCCTCCCAAAGTCCCCAAGTATTGGGACTACAGGCATGATCCACTGCTGCACCCAGCCTTTTTTTTTTTTTTTAGAGCTCCCTAAAAGACAGGGTCTTACTTTATTGCCCAGGGTGGTCTCAAACTCCTGGGCTCAAGCAGTCCTCTCACCTTGGCCTCCCAGACTGCTAGGATTACAGGCATGAGCCACCATGCCCAGCTACAGATCCTTTTTAACTTGTAACAGGGTAATGTCCAGAAAAACCCATCATAAGTTGAAAATATTGGAACTGGACTTTCAACTTAAGAGGGGTTTAGCTGAGTGCAATGGCTCACCCTTGTAATCTCAGGACTTTGAGAGGCAAAGGCAGGAGGATCACTTAAGGCCAAGAGTTCGAGACCAGGTTGGGCAACATAGTGAGACCCTGTCTCTACAAAAAATCAGCAGGGCAAGGTGATGATATACCCCTGGTCCCGACCATTGGGGAGTGTGAGGGAGGATGATAGCTTGGGCCCAGGATGCGGAGGTTGCAATGAGCTGATTGTGCCACTGTACTCCAACCTGGGCAACAGAGTGAGACCCTGTGTCTTAATAAAAATACCCAGGCCATGGCACCAGGAAGCAAGGAAGAGGCCAGGTGGAAGCCCTCCTGGCACTTCTTCCCAGGAGGAGAACAGAGGGCACCTGGGGTCAGGAGGCAGCATGCCTGGGTTTCTGCTCCTCCACGGGCTGTAACTTTCAGCCAAGTCAAACTTCTGGAGTTTCAGTTTCTTTATCTGTGAAATGATGGGGCTGGTGCAGATGGTTTCTAAGATCCCTCCCAGGCCTGGAACTTCTAAGCCATGAGGTCAAAGGTGAGCGAACTTGGCCAGGCATGGTTTCTCATGCCTGTAATCCCAGCATTTTGGGAGGCTGAGCTGGGTGGATCACTTGTGGTCAGGAGTTCAAGACCAGCCTGGCCAACATGGTGAAACCCCATCTCTACCAAAAATACAAAAGTTAGCTGGGTGTGGTGGTGCACAGCTATAATCCCAGCTACTCGGGAAGCAAAGGCAGGAGAATCGTTTGAACCTGGGAGGAGGAGGAGGTTGCAGTAAGCCAGGATCGCGCCACTGCATTCCAGCCTGGGCAACAGAATGAGACTCCTCAAAAAAAACAGGTGCTCAAACTGAGGCCCAAAACAGTGAAGGTGCAAGATCACATGGATAGTGAGTGGGAGAGCCGAGGTTTGAACACAGTCTGGCGTCAGCTGACCAGGAACTGTAGGTCCATCCTTCTCTCTCCCCGAGCCCACCTGCCCACCCACCCTCTTAAGTGTGAAATGTATTAATATGGAAGAGAGGGCCGGGTGCGGTGGCTCACGCCTGTAATCCCAGCACTTTGGGAGGCCGAGGCGGGTGGATCACGAGGTCAAGAGATGGAGACCATCCTGGTCAACATAGTGAAACCCCGTCTCTACTAAAAATACAAAGATTACCTGGGCACGGTGGCGTGTGCCTGTAGTCCCAGCTACTCAGAAGGCTGAGGCAGGAGAATTGCCTGAACCCAGGAGGCAGAGGTTGTGGTGAGCCGAGATCGCGCCATTGCACTCCAGCCTGGATAACAAGAGCGAAACTCCGTCTCAAAAAAAAGAAAATATATGGAAGAGATAAGAGCTTTAATGATGGGAGTCATTTTCAGAGCAGTTGATAGTGACAGTTGTCTCTCTGGTTCTGTGATTGAAGGAGATGGAAGGTTTATGGTGGCCTGAGGAAAGAAGGTGATTTGGGGCTTGGCACTTCAGGGGAGGGCAAGAGAGTGAGGCCGGGTCACCCCTTACCTCTTGGTCTGGTGCTCGAGTGGCAGACAGTGAATCCTCCTTCTCCTCACTCCCCGACCTTGCCTCAGAGGCCAGAGCTTGGACTCCAGCTAATTGTCTCTAGTTCAACTGGGTATTTGTTGAAAAGGGCTTTGTTGGCTGGAGAAGTCACTTTTATAACCCTTTGGCATGGGAAGGCCATTGTGAGTTGCAATGACAGCTAGGCAGGGCTCGTCTGTAGATGCAGTGGCTTTGGGGAAACTAGGGCAATGGGCAGGACTTTCCTAGGTGCCAGGAGAAGGGGGTGACAGAGGATTCTAGTGGTCTGAGTGAGAGCCAGTGTGCAGTGGGTATGGCTTCACTTTGCTTTGCTTCTTCCAGTGAAGGTGGTCGATGGGTCCGAGGCTGGGGTCAGGAACATGGAGGCGGTGCTGGGGACGGTTTGTTTTCTAACCACACGCCTTTTGTAACCACAAAGGAAAAAGGCAGAACGTTCCTCCACTGGAGCCAACCAATCAGCAGGACTCCTGCCTTCCTTCGGGGCAAGGTCGCAGCATCTGCCTCGGAAATCACGGGGCTTCTTCCTGCTGGCTCAGCTGGGAGGCCCAGAGTGTTCTGCAGAGGCCGCATTTTGAAGGCTCCTCTCTGAAGCTCCCTGACCCAGGTCATACCTTGACGTCCAGATGAAGCCGGAGTGGGGACAGGCCCTCATGCACGTGGCTGTGGCCAGCAGCCTCTGTGCTGTGGCAGTGTCCACAGGCATTTTTGACAGCGTCTCTGTGCAAGTGGGCTACGAGCACTACGCCGAGGCGCCGGTGGCCAGCCTCCCTGCCTTCCTGGCCATGCCCTTCAACTCGCTAGTGAATGTGGCCTATGTGCTGCTGGGGCTGTTCTGGCTGCGCAGGGGTGGCGTGGTAGGACCAGGTACCCGCTATCTGAAGGATGTGTTCGCGGCCATGGCCCTGCTCTATGGCCCCGTTCAGTGGCTGCGCCTGTGGACACAGTGGCCCCGTGCTGCCGTGCTGGACCAGTGGCTCACCCTGCCCATCTTTGCATGGCCTGTGGCCTGGTGCCTATACCTAGAACAGGGCTGGCGGCCCTGGCTGTTTCTTTCCCTTGAGTGTGCCTCCCTGGCGAGTTACAGCCTCACTCTGCTGCATCACCAGGGCTTCGAGATAGTGCTGGGCAGTCACGTAGTGGCTGCTGTGGGGCAGGCCCTTTGCACCCAGAGGCGCTATGGCACCGCCACCTCGGCCACGTACTTAGCTTTGGGAGTGCTCTCCTGCCTGGGCTTTGTGGTCCTCAAGCTGTGTGACCATCAGCTCGCACGGTGGCGTCTCTTCCAGTGCCTCACAGGCCACTTCTGGTCCAAGATCTGTGATGTGCTCCAGTTCCACTTCGCGTTTGTGTTTCTGACGCATTTCAGCACTCACCCAAGATTCCATCCCTCCAGCAGGAAGATGCACTGACAACTCCCCAGCATTGAAACTGACTCTGGGATGGCAGCGTGGTATCAGTGTGGGGCGTCCTGCGGGTGACGGTACGCACTGATCACCAAGACTGCCCTTCCCTGAGAAGCTACAGGCTTCGGTGTGGAGGGGTGAAACGCTGTGATTCTGGCAACTTACTTTCAAAGACAGAAAGCAACGATCCCGGCACAGGGGATGCGGGTACTCCTGATGTAATTCTCATAACTTTTCTGTACTTTGAAATGTTTCCAAATAAATATTGGCAAGGGTAGTGGAAATGACCCTAAGAAGTCCCTCATGCACATGGTTGGACAGAGAGTGATCGTCTGCAGTATCTTTGGGGTGTCAGCTGTGAGTGTGGACTGGCAGCAGCAAGGCAGGCCAGACGGTGGGATACCAGTGAGTGTCCTCAGATGCAGCTGGATTCAGGGACACTGAGTCACACTAAATACGTGCCCAGCAGACTGATGGGGAAATCAGTTACCTCATGACATCTGTGAGTGTTAACCATAAGCAGGTCACGTGAGAGCCACGTCATCTCAGATCAGATGAGGAAACACACAAATGGTGGAAGTTGAACTCTCCTCGTGGGTCTCCTCTCGGAGCCAGGCTGTGGCTTAGATGTCCTTAGTGGCTACAATCTGAGCAGTCCCCACGTGCCCATCACCCAGGTCCTTCTGAACCAATCTGTTGACAATATCTCCAGGCAGGGTGCTGGAGGTGGTACATGCTTCTCATGCAGGCGACAGTTTTTGAGCCCTTGAGCCCAAGGCCCAGACTGTCTAGTTTGTGGTCAGGATGCTGGGTCATCCTCGGCTGCAGCCAGAGAGGCACTGAGAACCACACAACTCCCCCTCTACTCCTGGGGACAGTCCTTCCTGCTGGTCACGAAGTCACCTCCTTTCATCTGAAGGCATTTTGTTTTGTTTTGTTTTCCGAGAAGGAGTCTCACTCTGTCGCCCAGGTTGGAGTACAGTGGTGTGATCTGGGCTCACTGCAATTTCCACCTCCTGGGTTCAATCTATTTTCCTGCCTCAGCCACCCGAGTAGCTGAGATTACAGGTGCCCACCACCACACCCGGCTGATTTTTGCGTTTTTGGTAGAGATGAGGTTTCACCATGTTGGCCAGGCTGGTCTCAAACTCCTGACCTCAGGTGATCCACCCAACTGAACCTCCCAAAGTGCTGGGATTACAGGCATGAGCCACCACGCCCAGCCTGTAAAGGGGACTTCTGAAGAAAGCTGATGTCATTTAACTCAGGGGCTCTCCATCCCAGACTCCATAGTCTTATCCCTGAAGCCTCAAGTCCTAAGGAGGGTCTGTTTTAAGCCCACAAATTAAATGGAGAAGTCATCAGCTGCAAAGGTGAGGGTGGCGGAGAGAGGATGCCCTGTCCCTGCCAAATGGCATCTCAGCACGCACCGCCCATGTGCACCTGCTCAGTGTCCTTGAGGTTGGCATTTGGCCCATGGCTACAATGGCTGAGATGTTTCTGGAAGTGGGCACCTGGGCTGGACATTCTGTCCTAGCAGGCTGAGCACATTGCCACCAGGTAAGGGCCTGGGGCAAATGGCAGGGTCTGACCTGGGGCTTGGGACCTGGGGCCTGGGGGTGGGGCGTGTGGGTGGCAGAGGAGAGCAAGGACAGTACCTGCTTGGAAAACAGCCTGGTTCTATTGTGCACATCCCCAGAGAGGCCACCCTACTTCAAAGAGACTGGAGGGAGGGTGAAGAGAAGGCAGACTTCTGTGGGCAGTGCAGGGACCCCCTTTTGTGATTTCTCTGTGAGTAGCTGTTTCCATCACTGATGGGACAGCTGCAAACACCGATCATGATTTTACTTTTTCTTCCTGCCAATGCCTGTGTAATAAACAGCCCTGTGAGCCTAGACTGGGGTGATCCAGGGTGGTTTCTGGAAGCCCTGGAAGAGTGGACTGCACCCAAAGGAGACGCTTATGTAGAGGGAACCCCTCCAGAGGGGCACAGGCCATGGGAAGCCTGGCCCTGCTCTCTCCTGCCAGATGCCACCAGATCCAACCAGTGTTGCCGGATGATATGCCAGGTGATGAACGGGGCTTTTGCACAAGTGTGTCTCAAATGTTTTGTGAGATATTTCTCCTACTAAAAAAGTATTGTTTACTTGACATTCCGGTTTACTCAATCCAACAACCATCCACTAAGCCAACCCAAGCAGAGCCAGAGGTCCCGGAACCTGTGTGAGGCCGAGCAGGTGACCCACAAAGCTCCAGGCAGGCTCCGGCCCGGAACCTACACTCCCCAGGCCCTTTTGAAAATGAGTGTTTCTCTAAGTGTGGCCAGCTGCCATTAGTCACGCAGCTTCCTGCATCCCTTCCTGCCCAGGCGAAACCCCCTTCTGGGACCAGGACCTTAGAATGCCTCCGCCCTTGGCCTGGGGTTTGTGGATGCCAGCGACCCCTGAGCCACCAGAGGAAGGAGACTGGCGGCTGTGCCTCCCTCCAGCTCTGCAGCCCGTGGAGGAGCTCGGTCTTGCCCAGAGGAATTGGCTGTCGGGGCAGCCGTTGTTGTTACTGGTCTCGGTCTCAGTCTCGCTACTCCATCGTGTCCCCAGCACAGCTGGGGAGCCAATGGTTGCCAGATGGGGCCTCTCCCCCACCTTTGACCTAATGGCTTAGAAGTTCCAGGCCTGGGAGGGATCTTAGAAACCATCTGCACCAGCCCCGTCATTTCACAGATAAAGAAACTGAAACTCTAGAAGTTTGACTTGGCTGAAAGTTACAGCCCGTGGAGGAGCAGAAACCCAGGCATGCTGCCTCCTGACCCAGGTGCCCTCTGCTGTCCTCCTGGGAAGAAGTAACAGGAGGGCTTCCACCTGGCCTATTCCTTGCTTCCTGGTGCCATGGCCTGGGTATTTTTTTCCCACATAAAATAGTTTTAGGGCCAGGTGCGGGGACTCACACCTGTAATCACAGCACTTTGGGAGGCTGAGGCGGGTGGATCGCCTGAGTCAGGAGTTCAAGACCAGCCTGGCAAACATAGGGAAACCCCATCTCTACTAAAAATACAAAAAATTAGCCGGGTGTGATGGCACATGCCTGTAATCCCAGCTACTTGGGAGGCTGAGGCAGGAGAATCACTTGAACCTGGGAGGCAGAGATTGCAATGAGCCAAGATCACATCATTGCACTCCAGCCTGGGTGACAAGAGTGCAACTTGGTCTCAACAACAAGTTTTAGGCCATGCACAGTGCCTCACGCCTGTAATCCCAGCACTTTGAGAGGCTGAGAAAGAAGGATTAGTTACACTCAGGAGTTTAAGACCACCCTAGACAACACAAGGAGACCTCATCTCTACCAAAAATCAAAAAACTTAGCCAGGCGTGGTGTTGTGCGTTTGTAGCTACTCAAGAGGTTGAGGCAGGATGACCACTTGAGCCAGGAGAGCCAGGCTGAGGCCAAACAGTCACAATGAGATGGGTGATAGAGCACAATCCCAACTCCAAAAAAAAATTAGTGTGGGACAACAGTGTGACACATTCAGTTCTCTGGGCCCCAGTTTGGCTTAGTGACATGCCAAGGTGTGCTAGAAACTGCACACACTGGCCTCTACACCCGGAGCAGGCCCTTCTCCACTCAGATCCCAGGAGCTGGATTGTAGGGCTGAAGGGAGCTTCAGTTTCAAGTCCCTGGATTACTTTTCCAAGGACGGTCATGGTTCATATTTCTACCAGCAATGTCAGAGGCTTCCCCGCCCCCATCCACCAGCAAATGTCAGGGTGCTTTTTCATGACGTGCCAATCTGATGAGGGCAAGATGAGATTTCATTGTGATTAACTTAGACCTGTCCCCTCTTTAGCTGCCCCCCTGCCCAAAACTAGTGTGTGTGTACTTTTGAGACAGGGTCTCCCATGCTGGAGTGCAGTGGTGCAATCATGGCTCACTCAACTTCCAGGGTCAAGAGATCCTCCCACCTCAGCCTCCCAAGTAACTGGGACCATGGGTGAATACTACCATCCCTGGCTAATTTCTTTTAAAATTTTATCTTTTTTTTTTTGGAGACGGAGTCTAGCTCTGTCGCCCAGACTGGAGTGCAATGGCACGAACTCAGCTCACTGCAACCTCTGCCTCCCGGGTTCAAGGAATTCTCCTGCCTCAGCCTCCTGAGTAGCTGGGACTACAGGTACCTGTCACCACGCCTGGTTAGTTTTTGTATTTTTAGTAGGGATGGGGTTGCACCATGTTAGCCAGGCTGGTCTCAAACTCCTGACCTCAGGCGATCTGCCCACATCATCCTCCCAAAGTGCTGGGATTACAGGTGAGAGCCACTGAGCCCAACCTAATTCTTAATTTTTTTAAATAGAGATCAGGTCTCTCTCTGTTGCCTAGGACCACGCTCCCACCTTGGCCTCAAAGTGCTGGGATGACAGGCACCCAGTCTCCTAATTTTGTCCTCAGACTCCCAGGCTAAAGCAATCCTCCCACCTTGGCCTCTCAAAGTGCTGGGATTACAGACATAAACCTATTGTTTGTCTTCGGAAAATGTATGTGGTCTTGTATGTCTGTCTTTTTCTTCATAGCTTTTGAGGTTGGTCTTCCTTAAAGCAGTTTTGTGAGTGTCTAGGTTATGCTTATCTATGCCTCAGCTAACCTTGTCAAATTCTAGCATCTCCTGTAGCTGCGGCAGATCTTTTTACTATAAAATTTTCGTTATAAAATAATAGTTAAAAATTATGTTTATAAAGAAGACAATGCAGCTGTCACGTTGCTCATGTGACGGTTTACACAACCATAGTGAAGTGGCACACTTGGGAGGAAAGCCAGCAGGCTTGGGCAAGGTGTCCACTGGAGCCTGGGAGAGCTAAGGCCTCCAGGAGTAGAAATACCGGATAAATATCTGCTGGGCAGTTCGACTCCTCCAGCAGGTCCCCACATCATCATGTGATTGGGGTTTGCTTCTTCCCATTCAAAGGGGGTCTTTGGGAACCCAGGTTTATGGAGCCATCTCTGCCTTGGTCCTGGGGGCTGTTTCTCTTCTCAGTGACCCTGTGACTGGAGGGCACTGCTTTGGCTCTGCATGTGGCCAACTTGTTCCCAGGATCACTGGTTGCTATGGTGGCATGCCAGGTCCTTCAAACCTTTCATGTTTTTATATTATTGTTATTTATTTTCCTTTTTTTGAGACAGAGTCTCGCTCTGTTGCCCAGGCTGGAGTGCAGTGGTGTGATCTTGGCTCACTGCAGCCTCTGCCTCCTGGGTTCAAGCAATTCTCCTGCCTCAGCCTCCCGAGTAGCTGGGATGACTGGCACGCACCATCTCGCCTGGCCTATTATTACTTTAAA